TGTGCAATGTCAGTAATACAATCCCACTGTGGTCATGTGAGTTTGTGAGCCTCTTGACAGGCCTGTTTGTGTAACTTTGGTACACTGCTGGTTTGTTGGTAAACTACTTAGTTGGTGCTATAACGGGTTTTGCGTAATCCCCTCAAATATGACAGAACTATAAAGAGTATGAGAGCAGAGGCTGATTTTAAAGTCCGAAAGGGAATAACAGACATTCCAATTCTAAAGGGAAGCAGCAGAATTCCAGCCAGGGATCACCAGACATACAATCGCAACTGCTCAATCAGTGCAAATTCATTTTATTGCAACAGCCGTTGAACTACTAGACTGAGCTTAGAGCTGAATTCTATGTGAGTACACTATTACACAGTACTGTCAGATCAGACAGATCAAGGCTGAAGCAAAAGCGGCCTCTGCAAACTCAGACATCACTGTGACTGCCATGCCTAGCTGTAGTATAAATATAAAAAGTTATCTTACACAGAAATGCATTAGCAGGTAATGCATATTAAGGGTATAAAATTAGAGTTACATGTGGCCTGAATATTACACAAAGTATCGCATACATGATTACACAAAACTAGCCTGTATGAAAGCCCTGTGTTTGCTGCATAATGAGGAAATCGAGGAGGAAAGTGTTGCTTCAGAAGAATTGCTACAAACATAACTTACTGACACAGGCAATAAAGAAACAGCTTGTATAATATCCATAGAATAGCACAGCAAATAGAATGAGACACTCTGGAGCAGCCACACATGAGCACAAGGTCACCATGTCCCATGCCAAACATCAGCTAGAGGGGTATAAAGCCCCCCAGCATTGAGCTGTGGAGCAGTGGAACTCTGTTCTCTGTGATGATCGAGGTTCATCCAATACCTTTGGGATAAACATCATGTACATGTCTCATTACGACAGCATGCTATGATGTTAATAACATATAAAGGCAACGCTTAATGCTGCAACACATATCGAGGTTTGTGATACTGTCACATAACTGCACTTCAAAAACAATCTGTTTTGATTTTGAGTCAAGGTACCACAGAGGTCAACTGATGGACCCTAGCAGAGCTGGGCAATACAATAATATTTATCATTATCGTAATAAGCTGCATCACAATATGTTTTTGAGCATATTGTGGATATTGTCAGTAGTTAAAAATACTTACCAATAGCATGTTTGATTACAAGGAGAGCGTAACTAGCCCCGTTTAACTGAACATTTCAATGTGTGAAATGTTGAATACAAATAATTGGTATATTTTTATAATGTGGCAACACTTTGTCTGTTATAGCTTATCAGATGTCACAAGCAATAGCTACATTGCATGACATATCGTGCATAATAAACCTTCCTGAAGTATCGCGATGCTACATATTGCTATATCTCCCACCTCTAGAATGCAGTTTATTGTTTCTGAGGTTTTCAGCGCGCTAAGCTGTTGTCAACAACTACAGTGCAAAAGCTTTACGAGGGCGACTTTAGCTACGATAGCTGTCACGTCGATGTAGCTAAATGAAAAACGAGAGAAGAGTCAACAACACCACACCTCTCCGTCCACCCGCCAGCGCTTCCTTTAGACTGTGATTTAAACGTTGCGTCTAACAAAATCATATAAGTTCAGATTCATTGTCGTCGCGACGTGATGTGAGTGTCTGACAGCTCAGCAGATCCAGGCTAGTCAACAAGCTAACTGCTACCGAGCTAACAGCTAACCACAGCCATAACACACAGAGCCACACAGCTAGCTAACAGCTAGCGAAGCCCTGGTTCTGTAGCTGAGGCCTCGCTTTATGAACACGCACTCTGTGTCAGACACTCATGACAAAAACGTATAATAAACAAACTCGCCTTGACTTACAGACTGTGGAACTACATGTCACGTCGCCATAACAGTCCTTAACAGGCGCTTCTCTTGTTTACTCTCTGCTGACGGCACCAACATCTCCAAGCAGAGAGCCTCTCTACCATATATTTACATAGACTCCACTGGGCTTCCTGTTTTTTTTTTCCTATTTTGGTCACGTGTATATTTCAACCAATAGGCCGTTATGTGGATTAGTGTATGAAGAGCCATTCGCTACCGGCAGGGGTCACTTCACAATTCACATTTAATCTCTACTCAGAATACAGAAATTAAGCATCCAAGTTACATTTCGTAAAGGCAGTATTTAGAATACAGTTACTTTTTACATTTTTAACAAAGTAATTTTAGAATACTAAAAATATTAATTAAAAAACAAACAATATTCAGAAGAAACATCAATAGTTGTTTATGAACTATTTTAGAATCAGTGCAACATGCACCAAACATGCTTGTTAGAGAAAACTTCTTTACAAACACTGACAAAAAATTCCTGCTAAAGTAGACAGACAAATTAATGTAATGAGACATTCATTTCAGTGTTACTGAGTTCTGCTAAAGCCTGAGTAGACTGATAAAACTCTATGATGAGCCAGTTATTCATTTCAGTGTTACTGAGTTCTGCTAAAGCCTGAGTAGACTGATGAATCAATGTGATGAGTCAGTTATTAATTTCAGTGTTACTGAGCTCTGCTAAAGCCTGAGTAGACTGATAAAACTCTATGATGAGCCAGTTATTCATTTCAGTGTTACTGAGCTCGGCTAAAGCCTCAGTAGGCTGTTAAATCACTGCGAAGAGCCATTCATTTCAGTGTTAATGAGCTCTTTTGAGAGATGATCAAACTAAAAATCTTCTCAGTAGTAGACATGTTTGTGAGTGATAAGCCTAGCCTTGGTATTGTACTGTAGTCTGGAGATTGTGGTAGCAGCAGTGGACTGAAGCAGGTGGTGAGAGACAAAAATAAGTTGATAATTTTCAGACATTTAAATTATAAGCAAAATTTTTAATGAAATGTATTAACAGAATAATTACATAACTGAAACTGCCAATCAGTAACAATAAAGAAGAGTGTGAAATAAAAAAAAAAAAAAGATTTCTGATACATTCCCAAGATGTATTACAGATGCATTCTAAACATGTTCTGAATACGTTACTTCATAAATTGTAATGGAATATGTAACTGAATACATTTTCAACAGTTCATTCAGTATTCAGCCATCACTACTTTTTCAAAGTATTTTGCCGAACTCTGCCAATAGATCAAGTGGATTGCAAAATATACTTACAAGTCATGCAATCAATAAGGTTGGAATTTGTATGTATCTGCAATACGGCTACAAGCTCAAATAAATTTTATTAAGACATATTTATTGCACACACGTGGTTAGATATAGGGTGTGTTCAAACAGTTTGATTAAATCAAAGATCGTCTATAGGGTAAACCTGATCCTGAAACCTTAATCTACTTAATCACCAAATTCTGAGTAGGGAAATCACAAAACTGAGCTGGACACATCTGACTAAACATTTTTATCATGCATACAGTGTTCAGGCAAACAAAGCATTTTTGTTACATTCTATATAAAAGTCTTTAATCAGGCCATACGAAGCGACACTTGATAGTAAAAGGTATTCACAGCACACTCTTCTTATTAACCGGTCTTCTAGCATAACTTAAAGGGTCCTAACCCTAGATCATGAAAAAATACCAAAATAGCAACAAAAGCAGCCTGGAAAATTCTAATGGATAAAACAGCCATGTACAAAGAAATATTACAATCTTTGGAAGATAAAACCTCAAACATTAGAGGTGGACCTCTGAGTAATTAAAAAAAAAAAAAACACACAAACACACACAATGCAAGAAGACTGTAGGATACAGGCCAAGCCAGAGTCTGCTGTAGGTAGCTTGAATTTAAACCAAGGCTGTAAGACCTTGGCCAAGGTTTAGTGTGTTCCCTGACAGGACAAATTAATTTACAAGTCTACTGAGTATAACTGGCCATGTTAATAATCCTGGAGAACCCTAAAGCTGTTTGTGACATTTGTTTAAGCTTAGTAATATGCACGCTGAACATGCAAACAAATAAACAGAAAAAAGTAAAATAAGGTTCTCTCCTTTACAGACCAAAAAAGGATTCAGTAAAGAAAACCACACTTTAGTTTAAGAAACGTTTAAGAAACCCTCTGAAGTATTATACTCCTCATGGTCCAGCCCCACTGCTGCATAGGGTCCCTTTGGGCCTGGAACAGCCACCACCATGGTCGCTAGGTTGACGTTACCAGAGAAGTGCCTGACTATTTAGCGTGTCCGGTAGGGAAACTGGCACGGAGGTTATTAAGGAGGCAGTGTTGCTGACTACACTGATTGCAGTGGCTAGCAGAGTGGGCATCCACAAAGGGCCTTTTTATGGAAAAAAAAATGGACCTGGCAAAGCTCCAGTACCCCAAAAGTCCTACAAAAATCACAACTTCTTGCATGTCCACAATGGTCTAGCCTCAACTAACAGAAGTTTGTTTTCACTTGTTCCCCCTTGTGGACAATTTTGTTATACATGAGTGAGTGAGAATGTCTGAGAGTGAGGTGAGTCAGGCCAGGTCCATGTGGTGCTTCCCATCTAAACATACAGCATGGCAACGGAAACCTGCTGCACAGTGTGTATTGGTGGTGCGTCAGCTGGGTAGGTGGAGGCTGTTGCTTGTGGCCTGGCCACACAAAGGTACATGTGACATGAACATGCACAGTTGTTTCCTTGATCAATCACTGCAATCTTGTCAGCATACAAGTATGTTGCAGTCTTGCCAGAGTTGTTGTTAGTTGTATTGTCTGAAATAGCCTATCATATACTGCTTGTGCACTGATGTCCAAAAGTAGCAAGTAATAAGCAGTATGCCACCAACATGAATTTATCCAGTACACCAGAGATACTAGGATGGTGTACTCAACACAGAAAAGCGTATAGCAACCATTACTAAACAGGCTCAGCCCCTTGTCTCTGTGGCTGTTAAAGTAAAATGTAGGAAATGGGACTAAGTTGGCCAAAACATCACATAAAAAAAAAAAACACACACACACACACACACACACACACACACACACCACACGTCAAATTTTAAAACACTTCTTTCAAGCAGCTTTCTAATTCAGTTAGAGGTTTTATTTATTCATTTTACTAGGCACATACAAAAGTCTGACAGTACAAGTGTCTAGTCTAAAAGAAAGATCAGTATTTGTTTTTTTCCTCTTTTTCAGAATCAGACAACAGCGCTGCTGCTGCTGCTACCACCGCAGCAATAATACCAACTGCTCCAATAGTAGCTACACCAATACCAACAGCTTTTCGCACCTACAATACAAGAAAGGGAAAAGATGGGGAACAAATATTAATAATTGAAAATAAAGTAGTTTAGACTGACTGTTTTTGAAAAATGTATATTTCACCACTTATCATTATGTAAAGTAACAAAAAGGTTACCATGAGATAGATAAATAAATATATATATATATATATATATATATATATATATATATATATATATATATATATATATATATATATATATACACACACATACATACATACACACACACACACACACACACACACACGTATATGACATTGGACACATTCAGTGATTTAACACTGGCTTGACCTGTAACAAAACCGACCATACATGGAACATTGCGTAGCTCACCTGACGTGACCTTGGCTTCCCATATCTTAATTCTGTGACAAAGTGCTCACAGTTGTGGCTGAATAGGCTGTAAGACAGCATGTTGCCTACATGACGGTGAGCATGTTTGACAACCAGACAGATGTCTTGGGGCTCATACTCATCATCCAAAAGGTTGTTAACTATATATTTATCATCCCCCACCACAACTGAGAGCTTCTCCTTCTTCACAACTGCTTTGTCATGGAACACCGACATCACGCTGCTGGCTCCAGCATACGCCACCTCAGCTAAAGGATAAGGATCATGTGTTTTAAATTGGTACAATTGAGCTCTAGCAATATTCAAGTGCTACAGAGGTAAATAGGGAAGGGATAAGAAGAGAAGCAGTGGGACTTCAGACTAAGACTGCAATATAATACATTATGGGAGCCTGTGGTCTTAAGGTCATGGTCATGGTCTCCCAAGGTCATAATAGACTAGAGGAGTAAATCTTTCCACAGGAACACAATTGTCTTCAATCAGCTGGTTATATCAGATAAGCAAACTTTGTTATGCAATCCATTTTTGAAGTCATAGTGCATCATACATAAAGTTCACTGTTGGAAAGGTTCTGCGCAGGTACATTTTTCATTCATCAAGGCATCAACAATGGAAAATGTACCCTCAAAGGTACAGTGGTTTTAAGGCCCAATTGTGCACCTTAAATAAGTTTTTCCCAGTAAAACATACGTATTTCTACCTCAAAAGGTTCAAATGAGACCTATGCGCCACCCTTACGGGTACATCTCAGCACCTTTAGTCAGGGAACATAATTGTACCATAATCCATAAAAATTACATTTTCTAAGTTGTAGTGACTCCACACACCCTGTCTCGTCTCCAGGCTTTTTATTTTGTTGCTCTTTTTTAAAACATTACGTTATGAAAATGTACAAATACACACTTTTTACCTGGGAAAAACATATTTAAGGTTCACACTTGGACCTTAAAACCACTGCTGTACCTTCGAGGGTAGATTTACATTGTACCTTGAAGAGTGAAAAATGTACATGCAGAGAATCTTTATTTCTAACAGTGTAAGATACAGTAGGTATGTTCTTAAATATACCAGAGGTATAGTTGTTGGTTTTACATTTGCGTTGAGGCAACACAGGGCTGAAACATGGGGCTATGGGAATATAGAGATGACCTTGACAGGGATTACACAGAACTACACATATTTAAGATAAAACTCATAAGGGCCAAATGATAAACGTACTCCCATAGATCGTACACAAGGAAGCAAACACCCAGTTTTCTCCTGATTTTGTTTACTCACATGGTGGAGCAAGATGAATGACATAGCCATCACCTACATATATGGCCCAGTGTTCGTACCCAACACGAAAGATTTCTATGAGATCCCCAACTTCTGGTTTCTGGAAGAAGTGAAAGAAATGATTTTTATATTAAGATTTAAACTGCATGAAGGAGTCAGGCTTCACGGTGTTTGTTAGAAAAATTACAAAGTTCAGTACCATCTCAACTTTACCTCGTTAGGAAAGTTAGTTTTTTTCTGGCTGTCATCCACTGGATATATTTTTGCTTTGTCTACAAATTCAAGTTACTTTTTAATCTGACAGATAGTTTATCGAGTCAGGTGACCACGAAGCACGTCGACGTCGCCTGGTTGTTACTGATAATCACTGACCTGCTGCGTTATTCCTGCTATTTCCCGTTTAAGTTCAGTGGGTTCGAAAATAAACCGGACTGAAACATTGAAACACTGAAAGCGCACCAATTTACAGAAGCCTCCAGATTAATACTGCCCTGTACAATATTTACATGAAGCATTAGGAAAGGCTACATAAACAGATTTGGCAGCTTTATCTGACTGAAGGTGTGATGATTTGCTGGGTAGCTGAACCAGAGCTGTTTTGGTTGCTTCACATCTATGAGAACGCCCGGCCTTGGCCTGGGTATAAATATAGGCAGTCTCTTTTTAATCCTGTAAATGTCAACGTAAACCTCTGAACTTGTATTTTTTCACATGTTCACTCGTGAAACCAGTGCCTAACCCAACACAGCATGATAACTTACAAATCAGACTCAGATGAGGTGCTTTTTTAGCGCCTGTGTAAAAGGCTACTCATTCAACATTTATGTAGTTAATAATCCATACCACAAAAGTAAGCCTGCAATAACACATCGTGAACCTGCTGTAGCACCGCGCAAGAACAAGTAATGTAATTTACCATATATATATATATATATATATATATATATATATATATAGAGAGAGAGAGAGAGAGAGAGAGAGAGAGACACACACACACACACGTGTGTATACATATATATATACATATATATATATATACACACACACACATATACATACTTTTTTTTGCAATTGTGAAAAGGCAGATAATTAAACTTCTAAATTCCTTGCATTAGCAAATTACAAATGGTATTACCTTTGTTCCTGACATGAGTGGAGGTTAGAAAGGCAGAGCAAGAACGATTACACTATCGTCACCGTTTTTAAAGCCTCACAGCTGCTGAGTGACGCTTATAGGGTGTGCCCTAGTAACGACCCGCCTCTCCTTATCGGTAAATAAACAAGCGCCTGCATCTTAAAACGTAATTACTTATGATGAGGACAAATGTGGTAAGCAGTTTCTCTATTACGCGGTTTTTTCTGTTTGTGGCTACAATATATTAGTTTCACTTTATTTACCATCAAGTTCACTTTCAGTTTCATCCCTTCTGAAACAGACCTATATACCTAAGATATATACGAACCTCAGTGCCAGAAAAGCTGGCACAGTATGTGAAGAAACTAGTGTGTTGGGTGGGGTGAGGGGGGCTTTAAGACTAGAAACATCAAAATTTTCAAAAACCACCTTAGACAGGTGATGCAATGCCTGGGTGCATCCTGGCCCGTTCTTTATGGTCCAGGGTGGCCCACTGCTTTGCCAAAAACTGCATCAGAGAACAATTTAACAGTTTAAGAAAAATGGGCCTCATAAGTTTTCATAAGTTTTTTCTTAATTTGTTTTTGAGAAGGGTCCTAAGAAAGTCTACGTCACATTCATGACGTGTTCTTAAACTGCAGAACTGTTCAAAACGTTTCGCTCTTGAATGTGTGTAGATTCTGTTCTTACCTGAGAACAAGTTCCAAATAAGAAAACAATGGTGAATCTCAGAATCTTCGTGAAAACTGCATAAGTGGGTTTTGAGAAGAAATTTCTTCATAAGAAACTTTGGTGAGTTAAGCCTCTTTTTCAGCAATAAGCAATTACAAGAATTTTACAAGAATTCAAAACTTTCAGGGAATCCAAAGAAATCTCTATGTATAAAGTGCAAGGCCAAAAACCACAACTGATTGATGGTGATCTTTGACCTCTCAGATGGCACTGGATTACAATTTAGCAAGTTTCTCTGATGGATATTGCCGCATGGGCTTGGGGCTATTTTTGACAAACCATCGTTGGTAAGCACAATTTGTCGCTGCATGTACAAATGCAAGTTAGGACTGTACTATGCACAGCGGAACCTGTATGACAATAGTGTCTAGAAATGCTGCCGTCTGAAGAGTCAACTTTTCAGATTGTCTACAGACTAAATGGACATTGAGTTATCCAGACCAAAACAGAAAAGGGCCATTTAGATTGTTACCAGCATAAAGTTAAAAAGCCAGAATCTGACGTGGTAAGTTAGTGCATTAGTGCTGGTTGTGAAACATCTGTGAAAGCACCATAAATGCAGAAAAATTCCATTAACATTTTGGAGCAACATATGCCTCTGGACATTGTCTTTTTCAGAGAAGTCCCTGCTTAATTCAACATGACAACACTAAGCCGCATTCACATTACAACAGCACGCCTGTGTAATCAGATAGTTTGGATGCTAGACTGGCCCGCCAACAGTCCAGATTCGTCTCCCTCTTTAAATGTGTGGTGGATAAACATGTGTTGAATAAGGCCCAAAATACAATAACAAAGGCACTGTACGGTCGCTCTGCTGTAACAGAAAAAAGTTAGGAAATCGCACTTTTAAATTTGGATCAGTTGGTGCCTTCAGTCCCTTAATGATTACTAAGTGTTGTTTGTTTGTATGGTTTTCAATACAATATTGTCCCAATACTGTTCCAACCTTTTGGAATTAAGGTTTGTAAATTCAGAAAGTTACCATAGTTTACTAACGGATACTGCACATTATCCATAAAAAATAAAACATAGACATTCAGATTACTTTTTCAACTCCAATGAGTTTGGTTGAAAGTGTTTACCTTTCCATGTGCGTAAATCATAGCTGAGTTCTCCTGTTTAGCCTGGGTGGTGTGTTGACAGTCTTCAAATTATTTCAGGTGTCATTAAGGTATAAAAATAGGTTTTGCCCCACGCCTTACCATTCTATTTATATTTGGAAAGAATGACACTCCCCAGCTGCATACTATGTTAAAGCCAAACAGCTGTTCCTAGGTAAGTTAGTATACTCAGTATACTTTCTACAGTTAAAAAAAATGTTGCATTTATTGGTATTGCTGCTTTAGAAGAAGCATGTTCAATTACTAGTATGTGAAAGCATTTTATTAAAACTCTACCCAAAATTGTCTGGACTTCTTGTATTCGTTTTTACATACACTCTTTACACCAATGATGATTTATTGACTTGAAGTATCTTTAAGTATGTATATCTCTGCTTTTATTTTCAAACGTTGCATTTACAACTAGCTTGAATTTCTAAAAGAAAAACAAAAACAACATCTCTGGCCTACAGTTCTAAATGAGTAGTCAACTTTATGATCTCTCTTAATTGACAGCTTCAGCAAACAAAAAAAATAATAATAATTAAAAAAAATTAAAAAATCAAATTTACACAGTTTTCCACTTACCACAGATGTTGTTGATCAGCCAAGACACATTTGGAGTCCAAATGTTGCCAAATTAGTTTAGAACTGGAGCAGTGAAGCTATCATTGCTACAAATGCTAGTATTCAACAGTCACCCAAGTAGCCCAAATAATTTCTGTAAAAATACCAAAACCAAAAATCAACTTCTTTCATCCAACTCAAACCACATCCAGGCCTTCATTAAGGTTGTGTAGATTTGATAATGTTGTTTAGGATACAGTATGACTTACTGTGAACTATACAAATTAACAAAACGTCAAGCAGCCACTTCAGACAATAGCACTGGTTGATCAGTACACCTCAGGAGTAAGGGTACTGATCTAGAATCAGTTTTTGTTATGAAGACCATTGAATTATGGAGGAATCTGATACAAGACAAGCTTGTGAATAATACTTGCCTTGGTGTTGGCTGAAATAGCTGCCTGTAGCAGTGAAGTTTTGTTTATTTCTGTAGTTCACAGTAAGTCATACTGTGCTGTAAGCCACATCAACAAGTCCGCACAACCTTAAGAAAGATGTGGATGTGGTTTGGAGATATGTTTTTTTTTACAGAATGGATTTGGGCGACTACTTAGTTCTAGTGTTTGTTAGCAATGTTATCCTCATAGGTCCAGTTCTAAAGAAGAACAATTTGGACACCAAACATGTCTTGGCTGATCTGGAGTAAGTGAAAACTTTTCCTTTAAGGTTTGACAACATTCCACAGCAAGGCCGTGCCTTCTTATTATGTCTGAAAGTATATTTATTTCATTTATATTGAGAAGTCATTGTAATGTGTTATAAAACAAACCATTTTTGCTTGCAGCATAAAGGGAATTAAGAGCAAAGTTGTACCATCGGGGGGCTGTATGGCAGCTTCATAATAGTTTAAATAAACTACAACACAGTTGTAGTTTGCACAGCGTTTATCTGGAGGAGTTCTCAATATTTAAAAGCAAAATAATCCACGATGCAAAAAGTTACACATCCACAGAACATTATGCTGTTTTGTCTGAGAACATTTATAGGTCATGCAAGGTCTACAGATTATCCTCAGAAATACACTATACATATACAATACTTGACACAGGACCATACTTTGAACACGAGTTGACAGCACTCCAGACGGTCTTGTGGATTCTTGACAGTATCTTGGCACAGTGTCCATTTTAGAGGTGAGTTTAGAGGTGAAAGGTCAGAAACTCATGAGTAGGTCACGCTCCTGCACACTGGTGAAGAATGGCTTCCCGAAGACAAAGGAGTGAAGACCCGCCCGCAGCTTCTCCGCCATTGCCATAACTATGTTCAGGTCACCTTCCACAGTCAAGTCCAGGTCAGTCTTCAGATTGCGCAGTGACCGGAACGGCTTCCTCCCCTTCTGGCTACAACAACATTATCACCACCATAGTGTTCAATACAACATCAGACAATGAAGACTTCCTGCCCCAGCTGACCCCAAATCACTAGCAGCACCATGATCAATAATAACAACAGAGCAAAGCTTTTTATTCTCTGTGAGTAAAAAATGTGATGATCTTAAAGAGGATACTGATAGCTGTTCTAATTCCTTTATACCAGTATCTTTGGGTTGACCTCCCTACTGACTACACGTTCCTTGGTTTTTTGTTTTTTCAGATTTTCTCACATTGTTATGTGTAGCCTATGCTCTGTAGATCTCCCAGATTGCATTGATTACATGCAAATCTGCACTTGATAACCTTGAAAAACCTTAAATTAATATGCAGCTTGGCACTTTGCCAAGGAATTACCTTCTCCAGATCTGGCACTCAGCGACACTGAAAGAGCCAACACGCAGTAATTCAGTTTGATTAATGGGTGTAGTGATGCCTATCTGAGTATGTATCACTATAACCGATAAGACGAGGTCAATGTACACATACAGTATGAGTTTGCCTGGTAAATGTGTTGGTTAGATCTGTAGAGCACTATGGTACATACGTCTCGTCCTCAATATATCGGAGCAGTGTCAGAGCCTTCCTGTGCAGCAGTAGGAGAAAATGGGACAAGTAGACACTCCGCAAAGACAGGCCTGGCTTCAAGAGGAAAACCTACACACACATACACATCCACACACAAGACAGAAGTATCAGAGCTCATGATGCATATTTATTGTTAAGTCTTCAGCACCCAAGAGAAACTGCCGCATACTCTTCACTGTGAGAGGCAGCTTAGATGAAATGGCTACTGTATTGACCCATATTATTATTCCTGTATCCAGGCAAACCAGAAAGTACTGCTTGGAAGAGATGAAGGTGAGAACAGCTCTTACCTCATCTATGAAAGACTTCACCAGTGTGTCCTTGTGCATCACGTCCTGAAATATATTCCTAGACGAGGAGAAAAGCCTCATTACTGCATGGTCATAGAAAGGAGTAGAATTTTTACTGTACAGTACTGTGCAAAAGTCAGAGACCACCCTTTATTCCAGTCAAAACTGACAATAAGTACACATGTATTTAAAAGAAAATTACACCGAAGCCTCAACAACTAATTATATTTTTTCATGATTTAGTTTGGCCACTCTTTGCCTTTATTACAGCTTCAATTCTTTTCAGAAGACCTGTTTTCAAGTTAACGAAAAATAGCAGGGATATTTTTACACTCTTTCAAAGTTCAGTCTGGAAGTTGGTTGCATTTCTGCTTTTCACAATGCACGTGATCCCAAACACATTCAATGATGTTGAGGTCTGGGCTCTGGTCAGTTGTTCTAAGAACACCAGCAGCTTTTTTGTTTGATTTGCAAGTTTACTTCTTTTTTTGGTCTCTTTCCTGTTCTCAGAAATGGCCTCTTGACAGCTACACATCCTTTCAGCCATAGCAGCAAATCATAGCATCTCTCATAGATGAAAGCTGTTTATCTGATGGTGATATTTTTGGTGGTCCACCAGGTCCAGTTTTTTAAACTTTTTCCACTTATTTCCTTTGCTATTCCCTTTCCTTATCCAAATGTCTTTTATTTAATCTCCCCAAAAATATCTCCTGAAAAATGGCCAACTTGTACTCAATGGCCATAAAATAAATAAACGGTGGACTCTTGACTTTTTTTCCACAGTACTGTACACTTACTGACCTACACTTACCATATATTTTCATTTTGTAGGTTTAGAATTACTGACTGTAGCCCATCTATTTTTGCACAATTCATCAGTTACCCTCTACCCGATCCATCAATGGAAAGGATAACCATAGGACCATCAAGACCAGATATTATTTGGGTTGTGGACCATTCTGAGCACAAAGTGATATCAACATATTCATGGCATGTTATTGGGAACTGCGCTGGTACATTTCTTTGATGTACAGGCTACAGACTGTAACTGTATACCTACAAAAATGTGTATGGTAGGTGCTTGTGAAAAAATGGCCAGGTACAAGGTGTACCTAATAAACTGAACGTACAGTATATGGAAACACATACACAACTGTACCATCCATGCATGAAACAGCCCATGCATTTCTTTAGTAGTGAATAGGTGAGTCACTGTGGGTGAATGGGACTATAGTATGTAGGCCATGGCAAATCAGTGGCTTAGCAACTGTAAGATTTTAAGCCACAGTATTAGTCATACAGTAAGAGACTAAAGAGCAGGTCTACTAAGCCTCTGAGTGGGTTTGAAAGTGTAGCATAAGGGTGTTCATAAATCTAATGTCTCTTTTCAATGCCTTCAAAGCAGCAGCAGCAGCAGCAGTCTGCATTGATTGAAACCAGGGCAAATTTCTTAGTGCAATTATCATTTTTTTCTGGCGGTCGGCCAGCAGTTTTTATCATCATTAAGCACTGAAGTATCTTGGCAGGAGGCTGTGCTGATAAATATAGCTCTCTTGCTGCTCTTCATTAATACAACCATCATAAGGACAATACAGACAAACAAATTTAACAGAGTGGCAAAATTTCTTTCTAATTACTCCTTATTTTCGGGCCTCTCTTAATTAACCTGTCCCGTCCTAACAGTAGGTTCAAAACCCGATGGACAAAGAATTGTCTGATTATGTGTATATGGTGGCAGCAGTGGTGTTTAAAAGATCATACAAGTCAGGGGTGAAGAAATCTTGGGCATTGATGAGGTTGTCAGGGCTAATGTCGTCCTCGCTGGCGGCCCTCCAGAGCGCGCTGAGCTCAGCCCTCATGTAGCGGCGCTGGTGGTACGTGTGCTCATGGCATGGAGGCATCTGCTTCACCGTGTTAATGTCCACGTCTATGTGAGTGGTTGGGTAAGGAGAGTACAGCACCTGCCGGTAAGGCAGAACAAAACTCCCTGTAGAGTCCTGTGTAGAGAAAGAGGAGATCCTTTTACACTCTACAGAAGGCACTCAATAATCACTGCACAGTCACACAAAGTAATTAAACTCCACTTCAACCTTTCCTAGTGACTGCAGTTCATGAAATGCAGGGATGTGACAAGTCAAAAAATGTTTGATTTGCCTTTTGATCTTAATGTCATGATTCAGTTTCAGACTTCTTTTTCAAAACACTCATTACCCAAATAATAATCTTTACTTTATTCAGAGTAAGTGTAACATTGCAGAACATTAACAAACTTGAATGCATTTATACTCATATTTAGTTTCTGTTTTCATTTGCTTTGACTGCAGTTTGAAATATGTTCTTTCATTTGGCAAAGCAAATTATTAAAACTGTTATTTAAAGTAACAACTCTACTTTAAAGCGTCTTAACTCCCGAAACTCCCCACCAATTTCAGTTAATTTCTTTACAAAGTCGCCCTCATGGCACCCAATTAAAATGATAAACTTTTTCATGTATCTCCATCCTAAAGTACTTCTGCTCTTTTCGCTCTTAAAACAAAAGTTCCTAAACGGTTCTTGGTTTGGACATTTGGTTTTTTAGGAAAATCCTTTAACTGGTACAGAACTTTTATATTATGTGGAGGTATGTTAAACTTTAACAAGGGTTTTCACACTCTCACATCTCATTTCAAAAACAATTCATTAAAGAACCATCCACTGAAGGTTTCTTCAGGGAAACAAAAGTAGTTTCTCTGTGGCAGAGCTGTTCAATCTTATCTGCAAAGGGCCGGTGCGGCTGCAAGTTTTCATTGCAACAAAGCAGGAGTACACATGACTAAGTGTTAGTAGACTGAGACCAACTGATTTAAGTAGTAGGTTTAACAATTAGTACAAGTACAATCGGGTGTGCCACACAGAACCTTTGTGGATAAGACTGGACACACCTGTTCTATAGCATTACTCAAAAAAAGGGTTTTAGTTTCATTTTGCACCTTTGCACCTATGTTTGGATGAGGTACAAAACAGGGCAGCCAATCAGAACAGAGCTCATTTACATATTTCAGTCTTAATAGTACAGTAACAAAAACAGGCTGGTTAATTCTAAGGAATAAAGAGAGGCTGAAAAATGGTTATGTAACGATTAATAATCACTGTTTTTGGTACACAAACCCTTGCAAACATCATAAGTGGATCTCGGGGGAAAGAACAAAAGAAAAGAAAAATGTTGCATGTGGGTCCTTTAAGAGTTTGTGTTTGCTGGTGTGTGGAGAACCGGGTGTACTGTTGTGGGCAGCATACCTTGAGCAGGCCCTGAACGAATAGCCCCGTGTCATATTTGAAGGAGTCGTCAGCTCGGCACAGTCGAGAGCACTTCCTCTCAGCGGGAGTGAGGAAGAGACACAGCGTGAACACGATCTACAGCACAAAACAACCCAACCAGTAAACACACTGTGCTCGTGTCAGCAAACAACAATTAACACATTAACACATTTTACATGAGTGGTGTTGTAATATCGAGCATGCAAGTGGACCTTGTTGACTTTGTCTGGATTGCTGCCAACAACGATGGAGCAGCCGCAGGTCTGTAGATGAGAGCTGATGGCTCTGAAACATAAAAACAGAAACTATTTATAATGCTTTTTATACACACAAATATAATTGAAGTCATACGTTTACATACACCTTAGCCACATTCATTTAAACTCAAGTTTTTCACAATTCCTGACACTTATTCCTAGAACACATTTCTTCTCTTAGGTCAGTTAGGATCACTACTGTACTTTAGGAATGTGAAATGTCCGAATAATACTAGAGACGATTATTTATTTCAGCTTTTATTTCTTTCATCACATTCCCAATGGCTCAGAATTGGTTAGTATTGGTATTATTGCCTTTAAATTGTCTAACTAGGGTCAAACATTTCAGGTAGCCTTTCACAAGCTTTTCACAATAAGTTGCTGGAATTTTGGCCCATTTCCCCTGACAGAACTGGTAAGACAAGAGATCAGATAATCTTTTATTAGTCCCACAGTGGGGAAATTCACAATTGATATAACTGAGTCAGGTTTTTAGGCCTCCATGCTCACACACGCTTTTACAGTTCTGCCCATAAATTTTCTATGGGATTGAGGTCAGGGCTGTGTGATGGCCACTCCATCACCTTCACTTTGTTTACCTTAAGCTATTCTGCTGCAACCTTGGAAGTTTGCTTGGGGTCATTGTCCATTTGGAAGACCCAGTTGCACCTGTTGGCTTTACTGTTGATATGGACACTTGTACCTGTTTCCTCCAGTATCTTCACAAGATTGTTTGCTGTTGTTCTTGGATTGATTTGTATTTTTCACACCAAAGTACGCTCATCTAGGAGACAGAATGCATCTCCTTCCTGAACGGTATGACGGTTGTGTGGTCCCATGGTGTTTAAACTTGCATATTGTCGTTTGACCAGATGAACGTCGTACCTTCAGGCATTTGGACACTGCTTCCAAGGACGCACCAGACTTGTGGAGGTCCATAATTCTTTTTCTGATGTCTTGGCTGATTTCCCATGATGTCAAGCAAAAAGGTAAGTAGACCATGAAGGTATGCCAACTCAAATTATGTCAATTAGCCTATCAGAAGCTTCTAAAGCCGTTATATAATTTTCTGGACTTTTTCAAGCCATTTAAAGGCACAGTCAACTTGGTGTATGTAAACTTCAGACCCACTGGAATTTTGATATAGTGAATTATAAGAGAAATAATTTGTTTGTAAACATTTGTTGGAAGAATTGCTTGTGTCATGTAGAAAGTAGATTTCCTAAACAACTTGCTAAAACTATAGTTTGTCGACATGGAATCTGTGGAGTGGATAAATATGAGTTTTAATGATTCAACCTAAGTGCATGTCAAATTATGACTTCAACTGTACTTTGAAAGAGAGCCCTTGGCTGTAGCCTTACATGCTACCTTTACAACACTTTCAAACTAACAAGGCATAACCAAGCATTTACTGATTCTAATAACTTCACAGACCAATTGCACCACATCTCTGACCCTAAAGGATATTCTTCCATTTCACAACCTTTGAGCAGTTCCTGCTCTTAGCACTTACTTGTGCAGGAAGTCCTCATGACAGCTGTCTCCAATGTCATCATCATTCAATAATGTGTCTTTGATCTATGACAAAAGAAGATTACATAAAAATATATACATTTTGTTAGGAGAAAAAGAACATAAAAGAAAGGTAATGAGAAAAGAAAGACTCACATCAACTTCTTCCGGTACACTGTGGGTCTTCATGGAGGAGAGAAGCTCCATGATGGGAACGATCTCAGACGTTAACATAGAGATAATGCTGTAACCCTGCAAATACAGACAACACCCAGATCAGACAAATCAGAATTCAAAAAGTTTGAAGGCCCAGTTTACACCTGAGATTAGACAACAGAGGTCTAGAATGTTATCACTAAAACTGAGTACTTACACTGAAACGACAATTCACGTGACTACAACCTCAAAGTCACTCAGTGATCGAAGGTTTTCAGCTATGTTGATTGGGTGTCCATCCTTTTAATCAATCACACTCATCAAATAATTTGGTATTGGTCAAAACTGTTGACATAATCTTAGTCACTGCTTGATGTTTTCAATCCTCGTAATTTCTAACCTCATAATCTAATTATACCAGCAATCTCCTGGAGAGAGTTCACACTCTCATTATATTAATGTAACATTTAGTATTGCAGTCAATTATTAATAGAAGATTTTTAAATTACTGGAAGGAGCGTCTCTCTCTCCTCTGTTCTAAATTCAACCAGTTTTTCAAGCACATTGTAGGCTTGACTGGTCAAGCATGTTGATTTTTCAAGCATGTTGGTTCGTCAAGCAAATAATGCTAAAAGTAACACTAAAACTAGAGTCTAAAATAGACAATGTTCATCTTTTTAACTTCACACTGCCGAAACTGCCATTTAGGGAGAAATGTGGGACACTTTCAGAAATATTACTGTCTTTGTCACTTTTCATCATGATCCTCAAATCATAAAATAAGAAAAAAGGGAGGGGAATTTAGTTTACCATTATATCGGTGCTTTAATTTCTTCAATCCAAAGAAACGGACAGAGTGTGATACTTTAAAGAAAATATTGCAATGTCTGTAATGTGCAAAAAATATATTTATGACTGATACACTTGTGTGACCGTATGACTGTGTTTTTGGAATAATTTTTCAAACTAAAACTGTCCAGCCTGTTTTATGGTTTTCGAAAAGCTTAACAGATTATTTGTTTCAGAAAAATAAAATATAAAAGCCTCCGGATCTACTTGCAAAAATATGGAGAACCTCTATTGGCAAGTGCTTATTACTGATAACTGTAATTATTACTGTTGACATGTAAATAAATATGGAACACAACAAGACAGTATCCACCCCGTAGTCTCCCGAGTAGCTGTCCCACTTTAGCAGAGGCAACCTGCCCCAATATATGCCAATATTTTATTGGTAAAATGGGGCAAAGGAAAAATTGCTTACAGAAAAAAACATAAAATTTATTTGAAATTTTTTGATCACTGAAGTATAAACCCATTTAGAAACAGGATCATACTTAAATGTCCCACTTTACCAATATTCACCCTAAAACATTGTAATACCATTTCGTCTTAACTCATCTGGTGAGTGCAAACTGTGCTTAGAGTGAAAATAAAGAATGCTTGAGCTACAGACCTTCTGCATGCAGATGCGCCCTTTGCGGACAATGTGCTTGAGCCTCTCCACACACACGCTGTGCAGGGGCAGGTAGAAGTTCAGCTCTGACTGAGGCAGAATGATGGACAGGGCGCAGGTGTTTTTATCGCCCTTCAGTTCTCCATCAAATATAAGAGAGACGATGATCACTCCTTTCTCTGACAAGACGAAGAACTTGACGTCCACGGCGCCGCTCTCGGCACTCCGCAGAATCTCGCCATTCAGTGTGTGGTTGGCCAGAAAAGTCACCTCCCCATCACTGAGCAGTAATGACCCCTGACCTTTGGGGGCCCAGATGTGTCGTACACGAGGCCCCAGAATGTTGTCCCAGTAGGCAAAGGTAGCTGCTAGAAGAGGGCACCATCCTTCCAAAAGCACCTCTGTCTTAGCCACGGCCGGAGACTGTGGCGGGCAGGCAGCAGACATAGTGCCTCACTCACTCCACTTGTCTTCCACTTTCACAGTGCAGGCAGTCACACACAGTGGTGGCACGCTGATTCAACCTGTGTGAATTAGGACAGGACAGACAGAGGCATTAAACTGCTCAGCAGCTCACTGAAGTACATCACCACTAAGAACATTAACTTGGAGTTTAATTTTATTTAGAGCTCCTTTTTTTCTTATATTGCTGTTACTGAACAGTAAAAAATAACAGAAGAAAATCAAACTCAGCTTGAATTTCTTCTATTACGCTTAAACTTTATCACCTGTCTGTACTTTGTGCTGCCACCAGTATGAAAAGACCTCTACCAACAAGAGTTATTATTATTGTCGTTATTATTATTATTATCATCATTATTAGTAGCAGCAGTAGTAGAATGTACATATGATTTTCAATTTAGCATTGTGGGAAGACGACTGCCCATCATGGAAAAATCCATGTCAAGCATTTCAAATCCATTTAATTAATTAATTGATTGATTTTTTGATTAATTAATTAATTAATTTTAAAAATCACAACACTTATTAGGGATGCACAATGATATCAGAATCATATTAGTATCATCAAATAGTTGCTTAAAAAATAATCATCAGCATTTAGATTTGGTTGATACTTCAAATCGATATTTGATGACGCCACCCTGGAAGAACAGATTGTTTAGCTGACACTGGGCTGCTGGGCTAAAATATCTGCATTTTATTCAATTTACTGCTTTTATAACCATACAGAAATGAAAGGTCTATTTATCTGTAATGCTAATCCAGGTAGTTTCTATATTTAATAAGTGTCTTTGTATCGAAATCGGAAAATGTACAGGACGTACATGAAAAAATATCGAATATCGTCCCAGAATTCCGGCATCGGCGCATCCCTATCTTCTTATCCCGTTCTACACATTTCCGTGCGCGAGCCCCTCCTCGCCTTTCCCGGCTACAGACTTTGAGGATACAGTTTGAGGATTTTTAGGAGACAAAACATCATTTAGCACGACTGAAGCGATGAAAGAAACCTTAGATTTAACCTTGACGTTTACAGGAAGCATGAAAGCTAAAACGAGAACATGAACCTGAGCGCCATCAACATTACCACTGATTTCAATGAGCGGCTCTGGTCGCACCCGCATCATCACGTGCATATCAGTCAGTTTCGGTTTAGTAACTTACAGTCTGCTTACTGATGTTTTACTTTGGTGTCATGTATTCTAAATACCAGATTTAAGCTCAGCTTACCCGTTTTTTATAACGATACTCGAAGAAAATCTAATGTCGGGCCCTTCCTGTGTTGTTTGTTGACATTTGAGAAGAAGAGTAGCGCGGTGTTGAAGTAGTCGTCCAACATCACACTGCCCTCTGGGGGCATGTCTTATTTTTTCTTCTTGTGTTTTTATTTATTTTGTCCCTAAATTTATTTTATTTTTATCCATATATTAAGTAAGCTGATTTTTTAATATGTTTATTTGTATGTTTCTTTCCAGTTATTCATGTACTGTATACTCTGGTGTACATTATGAGGCCATTCTTTGCACTTGCAGGTGGATTGTTGCATGTTACTCTGTTTGACACTAGATGGAGCTGTTTTCTTATTTTGGTATACTGACCAATCCTGGCTCTTTATTGCAATAGGACTGCAATCGGCTCACTACGGTAATACACACACACACACACACACACACACACACACACAGACACACACACACACACACACACACACACACACACACACACACACACCACCAGACAAGTAAATCTGCATTCCTATCTAATGTATTTTCATGGACATTTGCATGATACTTTATTACTGTGGATAAATGCAGCTGTGCTACACCTAATCTAATCCTAACACTAACTTCGGGACCCAAACGGAAATAAAGCTTTTTACTTTTCAAATAAGCTGCATTTTTTAAAATAAAGGTAAATGTTTTCTCCATCACACACACCCACCCACACACACTCACACCACACACACACACATTGAAATTGGCCTAATGTCAGACATATTTATCTCTGACCCTTTAGAACATAAAGAAAATGTCCCCCAGCACTGTATAATTCACTAGTCCATTATGTTTTACTGTGAGATCTATCACATAAACCAGCTGTGGTTATGTGAGTTTAAAGGATGCTCTCAGTAGATTCTCCCAGATCATATAAGATGTCTGAAGGCAGCATGTCTGAGTTGGTGGGCAACAGGTCATTTGTGCGCAATGAGTCTCCTCTGCTCAGATGATTCCTCCGTGATTTAACAGGCTGACAGAGAAAGAGGTATAGGCATTCGAGTTGTCATGGTAACAATAGTGTGCAGCACCGTTAGCAACACTTTTAGGCAGCGCCTAGCAACCGTCTCCATGCATCTAATGGCCAGGTTACTAGACAGCACCACGAAGAAGCATCCGGCTCTATTGGCTCTCTCTCTCTTAATGGGCGTTGCCTCCAGATTGCTTCATCTGACAATGTGTGAGAAATACACAGCAACAGCACTTCCAGAGTTGCCTGATTTTGACTGTGAGGATATATATATATATATATATATATATAGATACATGCATACATATGTATGTACATGTGTGTGTGTGTGTGTGTGTGTGTGTGTGTGTGTGTGTGTGTACATACATGTGTGCATTTGTGTAATTGAAGGAAATTTGGTGTGTGCCTATACATTCCCGCACACATATCCCCTCCTTGATCAGGACTCATTGCACTGATTAGCCGTTGTCATGTTTGCTCTTTACTGAGCCATTATGTCTGCCTGAATGATTCCGCTCCACCCCACTCATCCTTTTAGCATTCGCTGGTGTGGAAGAGTGGAGATGCATGCGCCCTGTGCCACCCTTTCTCACAGGGAAATGAAGGAGGCTATTATTTCTGTATCAGCCCTCCTAATGCCGACGGTCTGTTTACAGCACATATACAATGTGACTGGCGCATTAGTGTACCAAGGCTAAAAGCAACACATTCATTTCAGCAGAGTCAGCCCAGGACTCAACTGCGGGCATCTCGGCGCAAGCCTGGTGAGCAGACCTGCAGTGGTGAGTCGCTTGAGCCGTCTGCGGTCTGGGACTGGATAGAGGGTGACTGTGTATCTGATGGCTTTGGAAGATATGAGAGAAGCTGTGAGATTTATGACTGGGGTTCAGCTGGTGACATGTTGATCCTCCAGCACTCTTTGTTCTTATTTGGCAGGCTGATGGGCAGCGCTGGCGAACACTGGGTGTCAGACTGAAAGCTCTGAACTTCCTTTGTTCTCAGGACACAGTGATCTGAAGGAGAGTCAAGTGGTGAACCACACCTTGATGATTAGCATAACTCAGCCTGAATGTCTAAGTCAAAAATGTTGAATGGAGAGAAAGGCTTCTGTAAGAGGATTGAGGGTGTTTCTCAAAATGAGGGGAGACCACTGGCCACTTTGTTAGAAGCTAGAGATGCACTGAAATTTTGGCCACTGAAACTAGAGATGCACTGAAATGTTGGCCTAAAACGGTCAAAAATAGTACTTTTGGTTTCCACGAGGGGCGTTAGACAAGCGATTTATAATCTCTGTTCATCTTGAACTTCTTCACTACTGATTTGATACAACTTGAAAACATGACACCACGTTCGATATAAAGAATACAGCAAAACAACAGACGCAGAAAGGAATGAGAGTAAAAAGGTAACACAACACGCAAACTTAAATGTGGATTTTTCTGCAAAATTTAGTGCACAATGTCTTTTTCTGGGCACAGGCCACATAATATGTGCAAGTTTCATCCCAATATGTTAAATTCATCAAATAAACAGAAATTGTGCATCAAAATATGTAGAAGTTTGTTCCCTGTACACTCTGTAAAAAGATGGTCCTTCACGGGTTCTTTAGCAAAAATGGTTCTGTATAGACCCATGAACACTCAAAGAAGGTTTGAAGGGTTCTTTGCATCATGAAAGGGTTCTTCAGATTGATGGAGAATGTACTGTATATGGTTCTATATAGAACCTTTTTGAAAAAGTTTCTATGTAGCACCACAAAGGGCTCTTCTATTGTTACAATGTCAAGCTATAATAGTAGCAATAGAAGATCCTTTTTTGTTGCTATATAGAACCCTTTTCAGGAATATTCTATATAGAACCATATACAACATACTCTCCATCATTCTGAAGAATGCTTTATGATGCAAAGAACCCTTTAATCATGCAAAGGGTGGTTTGAGTGTTCATGGTTCTATATAGAACCAATTTCTTTATTAAAGAGCCCTTAAAGAACCATCTCTTTTAAGAAAGTAGAGCAAGGGTGTCCAATCGTATCCACAAAGAGCCGATGTGGTTACAGGTTTTTATTCCAACGAAGCAGGAGATGACCTGATCAGCAGTTTGAAGACTGAAACCAACTGATCAAAAAAGGGGAATCTGGTGTGCTCCAGCTTGTTTTGAGTGAAAACCTGCAGCCACTCCGGCCCTTTGTGGATAAGATTGGACACCCCTGATGTAGCGATATTTGTGATATATTGTGTCCGTTTATGAGTGGTCAGGTTTTGCCCACAGAGTCAATTTTTGTTGTATATTTTTGCGTGGTGGACCACTCTCAACTTGGCGATTAGTAAAAGCTCCAGCAAAGCTGCTGTGGCTGTTACACTAGCACCACACACACTGTACAACTTTCATGTCAGTATCACCACTGTGTTCAGCATAGTCCGCCACCCAAATAGTATCTGCACAGCCCTATAGTCAGAAACTGACCAATGATAAATGAGTCAGATAAGAGGGTGGCTGATAAGTTATGCATGTCAACAGATGGGCTACAGTCTGTACACCTAGATAATGACCTACAAGGTAAGTGGACCTCATAAATTGGCCAGTGACTCAAAGCACAACGTAGGTGTTTCTAATAAAGCAGTTGGTGGGTGTTTATCCTCTAAAGTATTGTTTTCATGTTTTCAGGTTAAGACCAGCACAGTGTGATGGTCCATTTTGTAACCTTGGAAAATGATGAGCTCTTCACCCCAGCTGACATGTACCAAGCCATGTATCGCTTGGCTTTATAAATAACTGCTTGATTGCTTCATGCTTCACTCTCAAGATTGCTCATCAGGCTCTCTCATTAGAGCTATTTGTTAGCTCCCCTCAGACACACTCTCTCTTTCTGTCTGTCTCTTTCTCTCTGGCAGCGGGCGGGTCCTCAGGTCCAGCTGAAGGCTAAGCTCATGCATCAGTTCATGCTGTGATGTGTCTCTGAGGGAGACTCATTCACACAGAAAAGCTACGCCCGCTCGGGCCCTTGTCCTCAACTCGTACTGACAGAACGCAGCAAGGTCAAGCTGCGGACACTCGCGGCACTACATACTGTTGTGTGGATGACGCATCCCAGTGATACACCTACACACACGTACACAGACACACACAAAAGTCATAACAGTGAAGGGCTAAAATTACCGTGGGCATGTTGGGTTAGATAAACTGCTGGTTGTATAAACCACTAACTCTTTGTGATCCTCTTTTTAAATCCATTTTTTGACAGTTTTCTCTCAGTTTTAGACACAGCAACTCCCTTTTATCGTCACTGTTGTCTCAGTGTCTTACTTAGCGCAGCTTCTCACATTGCTGACCACCAGGGTTGGGATGTAACGTAATACAAGTATTCAGAATACAGAAACAAGGTATCTATATTCAGTTACTTTTTACATTTTAGGAGACTACTTTCAGAATACTTACCTACTAAAATAAAACTCTAAAGAGGGCCTCAAATAATGGCTTCTTTACAAACACTAAATTTATTGCTAAAGCATGAGTGGACTGATAGATCAATGTGATGATCACTTATTAATCTGTGTTACTGAGCTCTGCTAAAGCCTGAGTAGACTGATAAATCAATGTGATGAGTGTTATTAATCTCAGTGTTACTGAGCTCTGCTAAAGCCTGAGAAGACTGATAAATCAATGTGATGAGTGTTATTAATCTCAGTGTTACTGAGCTCTGCTAAAGCCTGAGAAGACTGATAAATCAATGTGATGAGTGTTATTAATCTCAGTGTTACTGAGCTCTGCTAAAGCCTGAGTAGACTGATAAATCAATGTGATGAGTGTTATTAATCTCAGTGTTACTGAGCTCTGCTAAAGTCTGAGTAGACTGATAAATCAATGTGATGATCAGTTATTAATCTCAGTGTTACTGAGCTCTGCTAAAGTCTGAGTAGACTGATAAATCAATGTAATGATCAGTTATTAATCTGTGTTACTGAGCTCTGCTAAAGCCTGAGTAGACTGATAAATCAATATGATGATCAGTTATTAACCTCAGTGTTACTGAGCTCTGCTAAAGCCTGAGTAGACTGATAAATCAATATGATGATCAGTTATTAACCTCAGTGTTACTGAGCTCTGCTAAAGTCTGAGTAGACTGATAAATCAATATGATGATCAGTTATTAACCTCAGTGTTACTGAGCTCTGCTAAAGCCTGAGTAGACTGATAAATCAATGTAATGATCAGTTATTAATCTCAGTGTTACTGAGCTCTGCTAAAGCCTGAGTAGACTGATAAATCAATGTAATGATCAGTTATTAATCTCAGTGTTACTGAGCTCTGCTAAAGCCTGAGTAGACTGATAAATCAATGTGATGATCAGTTATTAATCTCAGTGTCACTGAGCTCTGCTAAAGTCTGAGTAGACTGATAAATCAATGTAATGATCAGTTATTAATCTCAGTGTTACTGAGCTCTGCTAAAGCCTGAGTAGACTGATAAATCAATGTAAGCCAGTTATTTATCTCAGCATTACAGAGCTCTTTTGAGGGATGATCAAACTCCTGCTAGGGCGATGATTGGAGCTGCAGATAGAACAGAAGCAGATGGTAAGAGAGAAAAAAATGTTTTGAATTTTAGAACTTAATTTAAATAAGGAGTGAATGTTTAATGAAACACATTAACAGAAGAATTACAGGAAGAAAACTGCCGACGAGTAACAGCGATAAACAGTGTGAAAGTTAAAAAAAAAAGTATTTCCCATGTGCCTCATGGGAAAGCTGTGTTCTAAATGTATTCTAAATGTATTCTACATATGTTACTTTTTATGTGTTGTAATGGAATACATTACTGAATAAATTATCCCCGATTGTACTCAGTATTCAGCCATCACTACTTTTTCAAAGTACTTTGCCCAACCCTACTGACCACATAGCACCTTTAGTGTGCTGGAGCAGAACAGAGACTTGTCTGACTTTGTGTGGCCCAGCATATGCCATATGTACACTGCCTACATCAAAAGGCAGAGAGACCCCTGTCATCCTTCCCTCCAAAGAGAGGAGGGCCAGTTGTAGTCTCATGGACACCTGGCCAAGGACAGCGTATGGCACCACTGGGATCTGAAATGAAGCTCACCTCTGCACTACAGAAGCATGACATTAACAATAAAGCCTTCAGGCTCATCGTCTGGATGCACAGCACTGCCACTGTCCCCTTGTAAAGTACACAGAGTTGCCAGTTTATTAGATACACTTAACTTGTATCTGTGCTCACTCGTCATTTTATCAGTTTCACCTACCATATACTACCACATAGAGTAATGTGCAAATATCAGTTAAAATGGCTGTTAAGTACACGTTATTCATTTGTCAGGAGATATTTCTAAAGAGATTAGATACAAGATAATTCACTTATAGGAAGGGAAAAATAAAAGGAAAGTAAGTGAAAAACTGAAGCTTCCATAACTAGAGTTCAAATAATGATTTGAAGATACAGAAAAAATGAGCATCCTAACAAGCGTGCAAGACCTGTTAAATCACCAAATCTGTCCCCATCAGATAAACAGTACTTAAAGCTTTCGTCTTTAAGAGAGAGGATAACATCAAGATCCATTCATGCTTCACATCTGAAAAAATTCACAGATGTTTCTGTCCATCCTTCCACTCTGAGAAGACAACACTATGAGTCTGAAATGTGTAGCTGTCAAGAAGACATTACTGAGAAAAGGAAACAAACAGACCTCAACATTGCTGTATGTGTTTGAGATTATTTGGATCGTGAGGAGCAGAAAATGCAACCGATTTCCATGACTGTTCTAAATACATAGAGGGTGGTGTCAGTACTGTGGATGCACTTTGTAAGTAAATAATTGACTGTAACCCATGTGTTGTTGCACAATGTGTCAGCTACCTTCTACCTCTTCCATTAATAGAAAGAACTGCAATAGTCAGGTGTTTTAATGCACAGGCTTACCTGGGCTTAAGCCCAGGAGCCCAGAGTAATCCAGAGCTTCTGATTGACCTTTTTTTTTTACTTATTTATTTCACCTCCACTGCCTGGGTCCACAGCTGGGATAGGCTCCAGCACCCCACCGTGGCCCAGAAGGATAAGCAGTTTAGATGATGTATGTATGTATGTATGCCTGGGTCCACTCAGATTGATCAGGCCTACCCAGACCTTCCCTTAAATAGGAAAAAATGTTTATTAAGGCAATTTTGTAAGATAATGAAATTTAATTTGTTTTCTACGAGTGCTGTCATTGTAATATGGACAATAAAATCATAACAATCTCTGCCCAGCTCTGCCTTATTTTTCTCAGCCCTCCAATCACTGCACAGGAGCCATTGCCTCAAGCCTTCAGGTCTTTTTTAGCATGCCAGTGTTTGAATTTTAAGCTCCAGTTGCAGTTATAAGATGATACTGGGCATTTAATAATGAAATTTAGCCCCATAGACTGTGGCAATTTCTATCCATCCAAAGTCAGAAAGTCAGTTTTCTGCAAATTTGGTATTGCAATGCTCTTTTACTACAAAGGCTGAAATAGGCTTTGTGACAATGTCAACACAAACATCTAAGGTTTCTTCAATGAATCAAAGGTAACACATGAATGGACTATAAACATTATTCATGTCTGCCACAGCAATATGTTGTTGTCTTCAATAATTAGGTTTATACGGAGCCCCTAAATTGACAGTGTGATTATTTTTAAAAAGACATGCCCACAAATTAATATTATGAGGCCACGTTTTTTTATGGCCATGAATAAATATATTGAGGCTACATGGCCACAAGAAACTTAACACATGGATTTAATGTATTAATTCGTGGCCATGAGAAACTTAACTTATCCCCATTATATTGACTAGTGGCCTCAGTGTATTAATTAGTGACCTTGGCTTATTAAAACCATCTTAGAGGCTCTGTAGGTGTAGTTTTTTTAAGTTTACTGTGTTGTTTTCCCACCTTAGTTATGCCATCTTTTTTGGGCAGACCGTGGTGAGTGGATTCATACTTCATGGTGAAGGGTGTTGCTGTGTTGGTTGTGTTTATGTGAATCCAATATTCTGGTTGATTGCTATTTTTCTGTATCACCATAGGGCCCAAGTGTTGGAATAGGTAGGGTGATGACTGCATGGCTGAAAGGAATAGGCTGTAGCCTGAAATTATGACACGGTGAGACATTAATGTGTTTAGAAATTGTATCTACCAAGTTGGTCTACCCAAAAAAAAATTTTCTATGCCACTAGATCAAATGACAAACTTTAGCTTGTCATAGACTTTGGCTGTTGGTGATGTTAATGGTTTTACTGAGTAAACTCCACCACACACAAGGACATCTTCACATTTTTATGTTCCAACTGTTCTTACTTGCATGATTTTAATGGAACAAAACTTTTTCAAACATCGGTTTTAATCAATTTAGTGGATCCCGTTTGGTATCAGCTAACAAACTGTTCTCAAATTTGCTAAAAAGTACCAGTGAAGTTGAAACTGGCTTTCTAATCGCCAGCTTCTTATTCAAATTTTCTGTTCCACCTTAGCAATGAACAGTAATTGTGCAGCAGTTACAGGAGCCAGAATGTAACTGCGGCACCATTTAAGGTGGAGTGGAAAATTCGAAAAAAAACCTGGCGAATAAGGAGCTGACTTCAGCTTTGATTGGGAACTGACTGCCTACTAAGTGGAAATTTCAAACCTTGACCGACTACGGCTTTTCGTAGTATGGCTCTGGGTTTAAATTCATGCAGTAATAGAGGGATGATGAACAGCAGTGCTGAAGCTGCTGACTGGCGGTGCTGGAGGTTTGGATGCTGGAACTAGACCCATAAGGCCCACGACCACCTGTAGCCCCAGGGCCCACGAGCAGGTTAAAGTGCCCCTGACCAACCACCCCAGCCAGATGTTATTTAGGCGGTGGACCATTCTCAGCAAAGCAGTGACATCAACATGGTGGTGGGCTAGCGGCATGTAAATGGGTGTTGTCCGGCCTGCTTTGGTTGGGTTTCTACACTATGTACACTTATTGGTACAGTTATAGACTGAAGCTCATGTTTTTCTATGCACAATTTGTGTTCACCTAGCCCCCCAACAGTGGCCAATTCCTGACCAAAGGACTATTGTTGGCTGCATATTTTTCAAGACAGCAGTGACATTTAGGTGTTTTTAAAAATCTAAGCAACACTGCTTGGCCTGATAAACACACTTCTAGGTTGGTGTCAATGTTGTACTGAAAATGGTCTACCACTTAAATAATAATGGTTCAGTGGTGGTCTTATAGTGATTTCTTCTGTTGGAAGAGGTGAGGGGCAGCATAGCTACAGATGACCACAGTCAGTAATTGTCTACTTGCAAAAATGCACTTATATAGTAGGTGTAGCTGGTAAAATAACCAATCAGTGTAGTTACAAGGTACCTTCTACACTATACTTAATAAGCTGACAAGTAATGTGTATCAGAACTGGGTAAACCACTTTTCAAGTTGAATATCTGGTGAGATTAAAGTTTTTATAAAATAAATAAAGTCTTTTTTGAAGTCATTATTTTGTTTTTGGGTTGTGATGACATTGGCCTGAAATACACTTGGGTAGTAGACCACAGAGTAATACAAAACATTGGACTATTACACACCAGTAACAAGAATCAGATACTGAAATGTAATGTTAACAACAATCAAGCTATATGATTCATATTTATTTTCTTTGGAAAATATACCGAGATATTTATTATGTAAAAACATTTGAGCAGCATTTGACAGACCATCAAAAAAAAAAAAGAAACATTTTCACAGATTTCCACTGAGTCACAAACACAGCCCCCGGAACCCACCATGTCAAATAAGCCCTCACATTGTAACATCTTCACGACGAAATGGCAGACGACTCTCTGCTTCCCCCAGAGGCTCTGCTAACTAGAGGATCTCCCAGGAGAGAACAGCGATTCGGAGCGAAAACCAAACACTTCACAACACAGCACTGCTGAGGCTTTTTCCAGTAGATACTTTGCTTGCTGGGGAAGACGACTTGAGTTTTTGCAGCGGTTTGAAGGTTAATAATAATGGAACTTAAAATATATGTATATAAATAGACTACTTTTTCCCTCACAAATATGAGCTTTATACAACGACTTGACCTCTGCACACGTCTGCACTGTCCAAACAATGCTGTCCAGAGACAAAGCATCGCAGAAGACGCGCAAATACTTTTTTTGGATAAGTGATTCTGTTTGTATAGCATGTGTAAACTCTCACAATTGAATACATCCTTGTAATACAGGCACACACACACATGCCCATGAACTCATATAGTATATTTCTATACACACGCATACATACATTCACACTAAAGCACACAACTCTAACCGAAATGTTATGTGCTTATCTTCCCAACATCTACTAGCTACAGTATCACTGTCACAAGTCTCTCTCTCTCTCTCGCGCGCGCGCGCTCACATGTCATTTGACTTTTCCCCTTTTTTCAGAACCGTTCAGCTTTTAGATCATCTTCATGTTGACCCGTCTGGGGCCACTGGTCTCTGTGAGCTCGCTGTTGGCTCCTTTCCTCTTGCGGGGGACATACTGAATGTCCACGCTGCCTCTGTGCTTGCCTTTGCCCCGGCTCCAGGCAAACAGCAGCAAAAAGCAGAAGAGGACCACGCCTAGGAAGCTGAGGCAGCCCATGGCTGTGGAGACCAGGATGGTGGTGAAGTCCAGCACCATCCGGATGGTGTAGCGCTCTGTGCCGTTGATGAGGGAGCTGTTGTAATCGGGGTCAAAAAGGAAGCTGCGGTTGGCATAGAGGGCGCCGTCCCTGATGCCCAGGCTTTTGACAGCCAACGTTATAGATAGAGTGGCGTTACCTGCTGGGTTGGATGCCACACATACATAAACGCCGCTGTCCTGGGGCTCAGCCACCCGGAACTCCAGTGAGCCGTTGCCATGGGCGACTACCCTGCCTGTGCTCTTAGTGGTGATGTGGCGCCTGTGTGGCGTCAGCCAAGAGACAGAAGGGGATGGGGCTCCTTCTGCTGCACAGTACAGCCAGGCCCTCTGGCCCTCCTCAGCCTGGGTTGGGTGTGTGGACATGGAAATGACCCTTGGCTTGGTGCAGATGACGTAGCGAGAAAGCAGTGGTTCCATTATGCTGCCGAAGGGTTTACCAGCCAGGGCAGTGGGGGCACTGCACTGAGGCTCCACATCTCCATACAGAAGGGGTGGAGTCCTTTGCAGCAACCAGCGAAGACGGCAGTCACACACCAAGGGGTTCTGACCAATCAGGAGACTCTGCAAGGCCATAGAAGTGGGCAGGACAGCCCGTTCCAGTGTTGCCAGGCGGTTGTGGCAGAGGTCAAGAAGACGCAAGGACAGCGCCCCCTGGAAGGCCTGAGGCTCCACACGATTTAACTGTGCCTGGCGCACGCGCACCACCTCCAGCCGGTCCATCCCACGGAGCCACCCGGCTGGTAGCACCCTCAGGCGGCTGTACGACAGGTTGAGGTGGGTTAGGTAGGGCAGGTGGCTCAGGGATGGTGCTGCCAACAGGTTGGTGTGAGTGATGAAAAGTGAGCTCAGGTTGAGCCCCTGCAAGGCCGGGCTGGGTACCCCCTCCAGGGATGGCCAGTGATCAACCTCCAGGTAGCGCAGGCGGCCTAGACCCTTGAAGGCATGCGGTGGCAACTCACTGATGTTCAGCTCTCGCAAGCGCAGACTGGTCAGACCATGCAGGTGGGCCAAGGCATGGCCAGGTACAGCACTCAGGTTGCAGCGTTGCAGGGTGAGCGAGCGCAGGGCTGGAAGGCCGCTGAAGGCCCGTGGCGCGATGAACACCAGCTCGTTGTCAGCTAGCTCTAGCACACGCAGCCGCCGCTGCTCTTCAAAGCCGTAGTCCAGTAGGATGACTAGCCGGTTCTGGCTCACGTCCAGCAGGGTCAACTCACCCAGGCCGGCCAGAGCACCCCGTGGCAGCAGAGTCAGCTGGTTAGCACGCAGGCGCAGCGTGCGAAGGCGAGGCTGCGCCCGGAAGCTGCCAGGTTCCACTGACGACAGCAAGTTGTTACTCAGATCCAGCTCCTCCAGCAGCAGCAGCGAGGAGAAGTTCTGCGGAGTGACGATGCGTAGGCGGTTCTTGCTCAGATCCAGCACCCTCGTCTCAATGGGGATGCCCTCGGGCACCTGTGCCAGCCGCTTGCGGTGGCACGAGACGGAGCGCGTTGGCACGGAGCACTCACAACGGGCGGGGCAGGCCTGGGCAGGGCACGGAAACAGGACGAGCGGCAGGAGGGAGAACCCCACGGCGCAGGAGAACAAAGAGAACAGCATGACCACCTGCAAGGGAGGGGGAGGGGGAACAGACATGGAGGGAGAAGAACAGAGATGCAGATATAATTAGGCATGTTAAAGCTTTCGACACAGCTGTGTTAAAAACAACACGTTATGTGTTAATTTTAACACATCTTGCCATCCAGTTAAGGATAACACATTTTGTGTTACTTCTAACACGACCAATGTGTTATCTTATTTAACACAGGCAGTGTGATCAGATTGTTAACACAAAGATGGGTTCTAATTATACAGAAACATGCAGTGTGCTTTCGGCCACCATAACATACTCAAAAACTAGACAAACTCGTGTGCATTTCAGTTGAATTTATTATCAGTTTATCTAATATCTTATCATGTTCACAAATACAAAAGTCAAACATCAAGATTCATAATTCATTCACTGAAAGTAGAACAAGTTTGTACCTTGGATTTATATACAGTTGGTAATCCTTAAAAGAGCTTACTTTAAGTGGTCTACCACATACATGTGATTATGAGAATAAGATTCTTAGAAAAAACAGATCTACTTCCTTTTGACATTCAGGTAAAATAGAAAGAGTTTAATTCCAAAATGCTGCATGTCCTTTTGTAACAATTTTGGATATAATGAGAAAACGTTGATATTATTTGAATTTGTAAAGTCCACTCCCAACACACACACACACACATGATCTAAGCTGCTTATCCCTCAGGGTCGCGGGGTGTGCTGGAGGCTATTCCTTTGGGTGGAAGGCAGGAAACACCCTGGACATGTTGCCAGTCCATCACAGGGCCCACTCCCAACAATGTATGAAAAAGGAAATTCTTGAAAGTGGTCTGTAAGGCATTTTGGAACAAAACCCTTCACATGTACAACTCCACCAAAGAGACATGATTGTCTCCAGTCACGGTTTCAGCACATGAGAAGTTTTCAGAACATGAGCACATGAGCAGTTAAAAGCACGTGAACAGCTGTCGCAACAAAACCTCGCATCTCTAAAATGGTAACAGGAGAAGAAAAAACACTGGTAATGTTTGGAAATGTAAGTTGATGGAAACAAGATTTGTGATAAGTATTTTTGGATCATTTCTTTCCCTCCATTCATCATGTAATTTTAACATAATGTACAACATTATGTTAAAAAACATAATTTTAAAAAAGTAAAAAACTAATGATTTTTAAATTCTGTAAAAATAAATAAATAAATAAATAAATAAAAAAAAACAACAGAAATGGAGATACAAGGTTTTGTTTTGATAGTGATGATATATTTAAACCAAACATTGACATAATAAAAAGAGCCACATGTGATATATTTTGATTTATCTTACCAAGAAACACTGACAGTATGAGCCACATTATAATAGAGCTGTAAGCATCAATGTTAGTGCCAAGGGCTTTCATGTTTTCAATCAACAGCAATTAATTTTATTCAGTATTTTAAAAATATTACACACAAGCTTGTCTGTTTTTAAATTTTAATGTCATATGCCAGCATAAATGATATTTTTAATCCTCTTGAATAAGTTATAGTGATCCACGATGATCTGCTTTGGCAAGAACGGCGGCAAATAATATGCTACATCTTTCACTTAAGAGAAGAAAGAGTAACCAGGCACCAGACCTGACTGGACGTTTGCTTTATGGGATTCTCTGAGGCTTTTGGATTAAGAATGGCCCTTGGCTTGTTTTTCTCATTTACTGTAGTAGACATAAAGCTTACCACTCTGTCATTTAACAACACAAAAGTTTTTTTTCTGCACAAGTGAAATGCAGCATCTGTTTTATTTCAAATGGAACCACAACACCTGCTGAAATGTCGTGCACTGTCTCTACACAGACATTTTCAGAAAAATGAATGTAACAGCTAAGACAGGTATCCTTCTTAATACCACTTAAAGTTGGACTGCTAAGCACATGTTCTTCATATTTTACTTTATTGCACAATTACAGATGATCACTCCAATTTTCTTACAGTTTTTTGCACTTGGGACAAATATTCATGGTAGTATGGCTTACAACATTGCTTGAAGCCTCGCAATAAGCTCCACAACTTTGGATCTCTTTCCACCAGAGATAGGCATGTCATAGAGATGCTCAAAGAAATTAAAGACTGATGTGAGCTGGGCAGGATACGCCAGGTTGCAAATGCAGTACATCTTAAACAGTTTGTCAATGGCGCATGTCAAACTATTATCCTCAAGTGGAATGGCGACTTTGTCCTTCTCTGCCACGATGATATACTGAGCTGTAGAACTGGGCTGGCCTAAACATATGAGGTGAGGTTGATGATTTTCCACCACTCTGTCAGGAGAACTACCCAGGAGGCTGGAACTGCCTGTTTCAGTCTGAAAAAATACAAGTACAAACAAAATCCACGTTAACATATATTTCAGAGATAACTTTGAACAAGATGTATAGGCAGTGCTCCAATTAAGGGGGAGCCAGTGGGAGCTCAGCCACCCCAATAAAGACTTCAGCTCTCTTGAAGACAATAAACTCTGAAGTTAGAGGGAAGTTTCTACTCTTGCAGTAAAAATGAAATCAAATCATTCTCCAAAGAGCTCATCTCTCCTGTGTCTCTTTTCTTTTGGCTCTTCTCCAACAAGTCACAACATAAAACAAATGTACATAAGTTTTGTAAAAGTAAGCGTACGGGTGTGTTAGTTGGCATATTTTGTACTGTTTGTTATACTGTCAGTCATATTGGTTGTTACCTTTGAATTTTATAATGGAATAAATGCACTAATGGGTGTGGATATGTCTGGAGTTCTGAGTTCTGTGTCTGCATATTGGACATTTCGTATTATAGCCTATTTTATTGTTCGAAAGTATCTGTTTTGAGTAGACTTGTGTGAGTTGGTCACAGCAATTGTCAGCACAGTCTTGCATTGTATTATGTTGAGATTATGTTGTATTGTTCTGTAGGATATTTCAGTAAAACACAGTACTCTGCCAAAGTTTTAGGCAACTGAGAAATGTTAATTTAAAGAGCTATTCATTTGATTAGTAACCATTTATTTGCTCAGAAGAACTTTAATATTAGAATACATACAAATAACATTAACAAAGTAAGTGGCAATTTTATCAGATGTGAACCCTCAGGGGCTTCTCTGAAGGCCTAATGATTTCAGGAAACTAAAAAATAAATATCTGTAATTTTTATTAGGTCGATATAGCTAAGTGAGCTCTTTTATTGGTTAGGACATCAAGCGCTGAAGGGAAGGCCTAATGCATTGCATTAACCATCAGAATAATTATGAAGTGACAGAGGAATCAACCAATCACATTTTGATTTCCAATAGGCAGGAGCAATTTGGTGAGATAAAAATGCCACTCTAGGCCTTCTGGAAGTCATGGATACATCACTGACTGTGAATATGACCCGCAACCTAATCAAATGGTTGTTACAAATGGAAATCAATGACAGTTCTATGCCAGCCCTCTAAACTGAAACTGCTACAAGGTGAAATATATGCTAATATGTCACAAGCTTCAAGTAAAACATGGAATGTCTATTAAAAGCTTCAAATGTCTGTCTTTAATCTAGAACTGCCAAAACATGTTTACGCGAAACGCCATTAGCTTAGCACTAGCAGACTAGAAGAATCCCTTAGGAACGCTATAATCCTAGAGGTTTTTTACTCAGGTTTTGACAGAGTTTTGACATTTATTTTCCAGTTTGAAGTCAAACCCAGTATTTTTTGTTTGTATCATCCAACGCCTGGTTTGGCTAATCAATACTTCATTAAATTAAATCAGGTGTGCTGTAATGGATTTGAGTAAATCTATGCGATGGCTGGGGCATTGAGCATAAGTCAGGAACCAAACTACTTTTTTGAAAACAAGAAGTTCTTATTACTTTTTGCTGCACTAACGTTTGTTTGCATTTATCCGAATGTTACACAGTGTCTTTGCAAACAAAAGAGACACTTATTGCTCAGTTAAATGGATTTGTACTGCATGTGCCCCTCGAAAGCAAGAGTGTAATCGAACACTGTGTATAAGGTTTATGACACATACAGACATATTAACACGAGACACAAGCAACTTGCCTACCGACTTAATGTCCAAGATATAAGATATGGCTGATTTCACACTGCATTTGGTCCAGCCTTTGCCCCTGCCAGATGCAGTAGGAGGCAAAAGGTATGTGAGCATCTGAAGAGCTCTAAAGCATGGTTCTGCAAAATAATAAACATAAAATAAATTGCATTTATCAAATTCTGTACCGCTTCTCAGACTTTGCCTTCAGACATCAGACTCGAGTCTAAGCATGTGAGGACTGACAGTGCAGAGTGGTACAGAGTATACAGTGTGCAATAACAGTAATTCCACTGGTTATTTAACAGCCTTGATGAAGCACACACACACATATGTAGAACCTTTTATTTCTGCCATTATTTCACAAACTTCAATTTAAAGTCACTTCAAAATCACAACTAGACTATCACCAGACATTTTGAATGGCCAGACATCAAAGCTTTGAAATGTTGACACCCCACCAAATCACCACCAAAATGATGTATCCATTTAAAGTAACATAACAGCTTGAAAGATTGTCATATCTTATATTAATGAAAAGCAGCCTACCATCACTCTCACTGGCAGATGCCAGAACAGTGGGATTCTCTTTCACTGTGGCCATCCTCAGTAATTTCGGGACAACACTTCCTTCCCACTTTTGAAGGAAGAGGTCAGCTTTCCCTGGATACATCTTCTCAAACTCAAAGTCAAGCTGAGAAATAGGCCAGAATAGAGTGGTTCCGATTATATTTGATAACTAAATACACCAGTCAACTGTGCTACAGATGGCTGTGTCAATGTATGACTCAAAACGTACTTACGAAGTATGGCATGTCTATAAAATGAGGGTACTGTTGAAAAATCTCTTCTACTGTTGGTGAGTTGTTTGCAATCCAGAACCTGCGGCTGGTGTAGGTTTTCTCCATGCCCAATCTGATGGTAGAGAAGTTCTCCTCAGACGGTTTCATCCTTTTGATCACAGTCATCCACTCCATGG